CCCCCCCCGTTTATAAGCCCACTAGTCTGTTAACGCAAATAGTCTTACAGTATACAGTTACTGACTTTATTGTATTTGATGATAGAATTCTCAGTAATCACGACGTTTACTGGCCACTGAACCTAAAGATAACAAATACAAAGGCATAATTTAAGGACTTCTTATGGGTGTTTGACGCTTATGAGAGCACGCCTACGTATTCTGCCATACAAATGCTAATAAATTATTTGATTTTTTTACCATTTCCTTCTACTCTACTACTATCCTTCATCATAAGCCTCTACACCGTCGCTTTCCTACTAATATCTAGGTGTATATTTCACTTATTTCATTTCTGGTATTCATTTAGGCATAACTACCTTGTCTCGGGGATGAGATCATGAGTACTATTACCGCAAAATAACCTATATGCCACAACTTTGGTGAAAACATATCTTTTGTTTTTTGACTGGATGGCAACATTGGGAAGCCATTTCGATGTCACGCCACACCTCATACACAACACCAAAGTCAATATCGTGACATTTGTGCACAATTACAACGACCACTCTGCGCGGAAAGAATGCGCACGAATAATGTTTATGCTCTTCTATGCTATAGCACTGTTTTTTACTTACATGATAGCGTAACTCCAGGAAGTCTAGAGTGCCAATATCTATAAGAAAAAAATGTAAGCCATGCGATTAATCAATTCGAAATTAATTTATTGAACATTTTAATTAATTAAGTTAATTAATCTAATTCTGGGCACGACTAGCTAAGAGACTGAATTGGAATTTAGCTTGTTAGACTTTGCAGAGGGAGGAAAAATGGAAAACCCGGAGAACACTGAGCTCTCGTTTTACAGCCATTCTTAATCACACGCGCCCTCTAGAAATTGTTTATGTCGCGACGAAGAAGGTTTTGGTGGACGTCAATCACAAGGCGTTTCCATAACATTGTCGGAAAACACAAAGCTATAAGGGCACGTGCCTATAGGATGTCATGGAAACGTCTTGATTGACGTCCACCAAAAGCTTCTTCGTCGCAACAGAAACAATCGCTAGAGCGGCGCGTGTGATTGAGAACTCTGCTCGTGTAATGCCAAGTCTCGCCGAGTCTGGGAATGCAAACCGAGACCGTCCCCTGCGTTGAGTTTCGAGTACAGTGCCACTACACAATACTTGTGATAAAGTGGATAATAAAATAAGCTATTTCAATGTTACGGCCATTCTCGTACCCAAACCCTACTTACTTCTGAGTAAGCCTACGATTTGGCTATTGAGTAGGTCTGGGTACGACAATGCTTTAAAGCATGGCGAACCATGTTGTAGTAATCATTACTATGATTCGCAACTCATAACAGTTGTTCTAATAGTAGACATAGTATGTACACCTTACCATTTAGATTAAACATGTCTGGCATCGATTTTAGGGCAAATGAGAGTTGCTGTTCGTAACCAGTCTTATTCGCGAAGACCGAGAGCTGTAAGGCCCTGGTGACTATTCCATTCATCACAGTTGGTGAGCAAAATTCACGCGGGGTAACCCCTGTAGACAACTGTGAAAACACAAAATATCAAAGACTATGACCACAATCCCTTTCGATCTATTGTTCAAACTTCAAGTTCTGGTTAAGGAATTCACGGTAGGAATTGAAAATGAAGATTCCTTTAAAAAGCACGGTGCATTGCACCTATCAGTAGCGGGATCACCGCCTATCAACCTGTAAAAATGATGGCAGCCATACCGTCAAGGCACGGCACGTTCAAACCGTTATACGAAAAAAAGTCAACAAGTCAATAAGTTTTTTTTGCCGGTAACGAAATATAAATGACTTAATTATTAGAGAAGCGTACCCTTTCAAACATTTGGTCCGAAAGAGAGAGAGAAAATTCACCATCCTCCATGAATAAGAATTTCCTAAACACTTCAAATTGTTGCTGTAGCTCTAGTTCCTCCATAAAGTACTTTACTACAGCTGAGTTCACCAGGGAAATTCTGCAATAAAATTATTTCCATCCTGAGAAGAATCGCATAATTAAGATATCTATATAACCAAAGGCGATATACACCTATTAAAATAAAAGTTGTCATCGCCAAAGGCGATAGGCAACAGTCGATAGCCAAAAAGCGATAGGAAATAGGTCATTCCAAGATCCAAGAATAGCTAGAATGACTTGTGATTCTGCTTCTTATTCTCGTCAAGAACATGGACCTTAGTGTTGTGACTGATTCAATGTTTTTTGTATTCAAAGAAACCATTTCAATGTTGGAATGACCTATCGCATTTGGGGATGACAATGATTATTGAAACATGTGTATATTGTGTATCCTTAAGTACACAATGCTGTACAAGGCACACTTTACTGGAACCCACTTATACAGCAGAACCTCTATTAAGTCAYCTATTAAGCGACCAACCTGCCCAGTTGTAAAAGTCACATTTTCGGTTTTATCTTTGGAAAATGGCCATAAAATAGAGGTTGCTCATTTAATAGATGGACGTCGTTTAATGGAGGTAGTTTTCAGTGGGAGAGAGAGAGGAATTTGGTTGGATGAAGAGCCACTCTGTGGGACCAGAATTCCCATTCATTTTAAAGGTATATTCTAGTTTGTGTAAGACTTACTGTGCGGTGAGGGGAGCTGTAACAGAACGGCGCATTAATACTGGTAATGACATCAACCGCGCAGCATCAATATCATCATCGTCATCTAAAACAAACGAGAAGTGATAAGTCGTTATTTCTGTCCGGTAAAAAAAACTAATGTTAATGTTACTCGATGACACATGAAAATCTAGTCTTCTATGCAGCCGCTATATAGCATTTTCACTCGTGACAAGGCAGCCATATTGGTGTATCAAACAATAGGAACTTTCTGCACAGTTGTTGGATAAAAATAGAGTTCAATTCCCTGAGGATAGAAAATGTATTGTTTTGGTACACCAACATGGACGTTGTGACGTCACATGGAAACGCTCTATTAGTGTCGTCACGCAACGCTTACTCCCCTAAGTAGCTTCCTACGTGACGACACTCGTAGCCGTTGCGTAGGAGATTACTAAAAATAACTCCAGTATCATATTTGGCAATATCTGAGTAAATTGTTGTATCTCAGTTTTGTGGTAGAGAGTCAACTAATAAAAACAATTGCTATATCTAAGCATGCAAATAATGAAACTTAAAATAAAACGTTTTTAACTAGTAGAACTCTAAATGCTGCTAATGAGAAGAAAGACAGGCACTGTCAAAAGAAACTAAAATATATTGTGACGTGAAAGAGAAAATAAAAAATAAATGAACTCTAGAACTCTAAATGCTGCTAATGAGAAGAAAGACAGGCACTGTCAAAAGAGGCTAAAATAAATTATGAAGTGAAAATAATAATAAAAAATTAACGAAATGACACTGGATAACTGAAAAAAGAAATGAAAAATGGGGGAAATATATCAAGTATTTGATTGGATAGTCTTACCTTGGTCCAGCATTAAAGGGCCAAGCGCACTTTTCAAAAGGTCTGTAGTAGGATGTTGGTCTGTAAAACGAACAGTAAAAAGTAACATCAGTTTACAGAATGCCCTCACATGATTGGAGCACACAAARAGTCGTGATACGAACAGAAAACCATCATGTTTCAAAGAATACGTATAATTTTTCCTTTAAAACTGTCCCACAGTGCACTGCATTGCCAACTCGACAATTTTTTTTTCCATTGACTTCGGAGTGGCTAACAGAGTGTCAGTTAATATGAATACCTAAAATGTCAAAGTTGTCTTGAAGTGGTTGAACCAGTGATGCAACCCAGATGTCTTCGAATTGTAGAGGCTTCGCTGGTTCAGGTTCGATGTCTTAAAAAAATGAAAAATATAAAAATAAATGAAAGAACTTTTTATTAAAACAAGCAATTGAAACTACGTGCTACAAACCTTTCTCTTGTTCTTTGGGATACATCAGTTTTGTAATTGTCACAGCAGGTTCATGTCCACGAGTAGAGGTCCTTGTCCCCCCTGAAATACCGTCTCCTTCTCCTGGATATAACACACTCTTCGCCGAATCAGGAGGGGGAGCTCCACGGGTCGTTTCTGGATAAAGTATGTCCTGAACAACACTCGCAGGGGGAGTACCCCTAGTACCATGTTGTCCAATATCCGAAAGTGTTGATATATCCCCGAGTAGTTTTTGTACTTTACTATCAGAAGGGTGGCCCCAGTGACCCCTTGATGTATGTGCCAAGATATTCCTACTCGCAACCGAAAAGTTATCAACCAACTGTGAATCAGAAGGATGACCATATGCTGACCGATGTAAATGTGAAGGGGCCGCTATATCATTACCGCGGTACAAGACCTCCTGTGTAGTAGAGTCTGTAGGATGTCCGTGAACAGATTTAGGTGTTCCGTATGGCGTTAGACTATCTTGTTGAGCATATAACAAGTTCTGAGCGCTGGAGTCTGTGGGATGTCCATATATCGATTTTGGAGTCCCACGTGTTGACTGGGTTTCCTGTGTAATGTATAATAAGTTCTGAGCACTCGAATCTGTGGGGTGTCCATATATCGATTTTGGAGTCCCATGTGTTGACTGGGTTTCCTGTGTAATGTATAACACATYTTGAGCGCTGGAGTCAGCCGGATGACCAAACTGCGACCTTTCACGTAGCTCATCAGCGGCTCCTTCGATAGGAAAGAGTATATCTTGAGCGGTTGACTGAGTATGGTGGCCAAAGGGCGATGTCGCTCTTTTAATGCCCAGGCCTTTCTGTTCCTCGTCCGTATACTTTTGAAATGCTGTATTAGAAGGGTGACGAACTGAAGGTGGCTTCGTGACGTCTGTTGAAAGACTCCGAAGAAAATCTTGAATACCTGGATCAATATCTTTCGAAGGAGTGCTTAATTCGGGCAGTTCGGCAGTTTTCTCACCTTCTTTGTCTTCTGTAGAATCTGCGATTACAGATGCAGTGTTCGTTGGAGTAGYCACGCCCTGGCTTGACTCAGGGTATAGAGTGCTCTGTAAACTAGAGTCACTAGGATTTGGAGCAGCAGGAAGAACATTAGGACTAGATTTAATATTTAGTGGCGCATCACCATTCGTACAATCAGATTTTTTATCACCATACATCGCAAATTGAATAGAAGATTCAGATGGGTGTCCATGTGGAAATGGTGACTCTGCTAAATGCACCTCCCCAGCTGTTGGATCCCAAGTACGCCTGGATGTCGTAGTACTACTCTCGGCCTTCACATCATTCGATGTAATACCTTTAGAACTAGACCATTGCTTTCTCCCTCGTCCACTTGCTCCTGATGGAGCTGATATGCTTGAAGAAGCTTCAGAAGTATTAGTTTCATCATAGTCATCATGCTCAAGAGGAGGTACTGATCTAAGGGTGTGGTCATCATCATCTTCATCATTCATGACCCTACTTTCTGGAAAAGCAGTACCAGTAACTTTTGATCCAGGAATAAAACCAGAGTCTGAAGTATCATCAGTGYATTGGTTCACAGATTTTCTTGCCCGTGACTGGACCAGAGCGTCTGTTTTGACACCACTGGCGATAAGGGATACCAAGCTTGGACTAGGTGTAGATGGTGTTATACGTTCAGTGTGTTTTGCCTTAATGTTAGCTAGCGAATCAGTGCTTTTAACTGTGGTATATTCATCTTGCTTTGACCGCCCTTTAGCAGAAGGAAGATTTTCTGACTCTTTTTCTGAGGTTTCCTTGATCATTTGTTCAAGTTGAGCCTTTTCTCGTGCAAAGAACTCAATCCTAGTCTTGTTCAGTTCGTGTCGTTTGATGGTCCACTGAGCACGTTCCTCGCGTCTATCCATTTCTTCTGTTAATTTTTGGTAGTACTCTATAAGTTCTTGTCTGTAGAAAAATAAAATAAAAAATGCATTAGTTGCAGTAGCTCAAACTATAAACTGAATGTATCAGAAATGAAACTTCCTGATTGTAAAGACAGTTTTACTGAACTGTTAAGGCCGGTTTAGACGGTACGATTTTCGCCTACAACTATCGTATACAACACGCTCGCGCCATCCTACAGCTCGAGTCGTAGCGTGTAAATCAAGCCTACAACTCGCCTACAACAGACGCGAGCGTGTTGTATACGATAGTTGTAGGCGAAAATCGTACCGTCTAAACCCGCCTTTAGAATGTTCTATATATAGAAAGATAGCAAAAGAATATTTGACTGCAGGCTCTTGTTCCTTTACCTTGCCCTTTCCCTAACTCCATCTGCTTCATCAAAACGATGCATCGCTTCTTCCATGAATTTTCTGTCTTCATCCATTTCCCTTTCTTTTATGTCTTCTTTTTGCTAAAAATATAGTACGCAGATAGTGTTAGGCATTCATGGAAAAAAATAACAGCATCTCCCAATAGACTTGCAACTAGAGCATCAAAATAGGATTTCCCTGTTTAGTAAACTAAAAGCTAAGACGCACTGCACGGGATGTCGCTTGCAACAAAACTAAGGAGTCCCAGCCCAGATTTTAAAGAAAAATATTTTTTTGCTGTACCAATTTTACAGYAATTGTAAAAGTCGCAGGATGAAACTTGTTGCGTTTAATGTTTTAGATGTAGATACCGATTCCACTTCTACGATGTTGTCAGACATTCCGAGCAACAGTTGCACCTTACCCTGACATTAAGATAAAGAGAGATAAAGATATTTTACTGCACCTTTATGGCATCTTCCATCTGCTTTTTCAGCATTTGTAGATCTTCTTTCTTCTTTACGCTAATAGCTTCCTTTACTTTCTCGATCATTCCTGGAWGGAAAAATAACATGCCTAAACATCAGAATGACACCTGGCAAGTAATTACGGTGTGCGCTGCTAATGCGCTGTTTTTCACAGCTGTAGTCGTTGGTTTGATCATCGTACCACTATCTAAGGGTTAATAGTAGAACCATTTCCTATGTTTTGAAGTTTTTTCTCTGTAAACTCCGATTTTCCTCCCTCCAGACAACTCGTAAGTCCCACGTTTCCGTAATTATAAGACCACCTTGTAGTGAGACCGCAAGTCAAATTTTTGCATCGTGTTTCTTCATTTTGCAGCATATTTCATCTCAGAAAGACAAACAAAGTTTGTCGAACACAAGCTTAAAACGAACTTAATAAAAATACCCATACAGACAACATGCAGCTTATTCCCAGAGCAGCTCAATTCCATTGAAGAAAAAGGCAATAGAGATTTAGAATCCTCGAAAATGAGATTCMTTGTTTATTCCCTCACGTTTGAGCCGCATTATGAATTGCCTAAAGGGGTCTATAATGTTTTTCTCACCATTGATATCAGCTAGTGCTTTCTCAGCACGCTGTTTTTCCTCTAAAAGTGCCTTCTCTTTAGCTTCTGCTACGGCTAATTTCTAAAAACAACATATCATGCAAGAGATATTTAAGTAAAGAAGAACACGCTGTGGTGGTACAGTGAAGCATTTTACTGAATGATGAGAATAAGTGACCGTTGTGATTAGTTCTAAGGAAGTTTTCAATGGTGTACCGCGAGGGTTCCAAGTGCCACGTCCCTTGGCTTTATACAAAATCTGCCGTTTATGTCTTGACGGTTATAGAATCGCGCCAAAGCATTTTCATTGATTGAAAAGTGTTCTTTTGCGCCGTAACTGGTTCAACGACGTTGCAGTGCGCAAAGTAGACTCGCCCCAAGTCAATCTCTCTTGTCTCCCGAGGAGCTTCTTATTCGAGTTTTTTATTTAGTGAGAATTTGTTGAGCGTAGCGAGCGAGCGACGTAGTCGCACCCGAGTTAAGATGCACAAAGGGCGGTGGACTTTGCGAAAGTCTATGCGCAAAGCGACACTATTAAAAGTCTATTCTATGTAAGCAAACAAAACAATTGATGAAAAGAGGCATAAACTGTTGAAACTAGGGAGTCAAGCTATCCTCACGTACCTTCTTTTCTCTTTGTTCATCGATATTTTTCGCAATTGCCTCCATGGAATCGATATAAACACGGCAATTCTGGTCGATAGCTTTTAGTTTAGACATGGAAAATGTAACTTCCATTTTAGGAGGAAGAACACCAGAATCACACAAAAAATGCTGCAAAATAGAAAAATTAGAACACATATGGAATGTAACTCTTTCAAAATTGTCAAATATACGTTTCAATCACGCTGATAGTGATTTGTTTAGTCTCCCGAGCAGTGAGGCTTATGTATGTGAATAAAGCCAAATTTAAATGAAATTTAAAAGCTAATTTTAATGGAGTAAAAGGCGGAGAACTCGGGGAAATCCCCTTGAAGAACAGGAGAAAACAAACTTGTAAGCAAATTTGCTTTCATATGATAGCAGGTCCAGGTATCGAGCCCACGGCCATACAGTGATAGGAAGTGCACACCAACCCTGGTCTTATCTTAGTCGACCCCGAATCAGATATTAGATAAACCCTAGTTATCAAACACTAGTACATACATCAGGACAACATAGCTTTAAAAGGTTGATGGATTTGCCACAAACAAAGATATCATTTGCTAGTTCACTGAGGAAGAGGGGAACACATTCGAGCTTGTCTTTTTCAGCGATTACAAATCCATGACTCCAGAAATGCTTGTCTGAAATAAAAAAAAGCGGAGGATTCATGAAGTTCAGTAAAGTATCTGCAAAGATCTTGAGTCAAATGTTTTCTAATGGCACGACCAATGGCAGTTAAACGTTCCGTAGAGTTTTAAGGCCTATGTCTCTCACTATAGTGACGCAAGCCGTCGAAGACACAAGCACATGTCAACACGGGAGGAACAAAATATTMTGTTTTCTTGCGCTCGCACTGCTTCTTTTCACAGAGATAACACGGAGTTGCGTCTGCTTGAGTCGGCCAGAATCGCTAGTGTTGGAAATCCTGGACCTTGTAAAGGAAAACTCTTTGATATGCATGAGGCTTGGGTACTCCTAGTGCTAGGGCAAGCCTTTTGACTCACGCTATTATCCATAGTCTGTACGACACTGAAACTTAGGTTTGGGAGTACCGTGCTGGGATTGGTTCAAATGGTATCGTAAATTTCGTGCCGTAAATGCGCCGTCAAATTAACTCTTTTAATTAGGTGACATTTAAGTCAAAAAGAGTTAGACCCATGCCGTCTAGCAGTAGGAACACCTTACCTACTTTTTCCGCATTAAGCAAGACGGGTGAAATCTGATACATGAGTAAGCAAGATGGGTCTAATTATAACAATTACAATTACAATATTAAAAAAAAGTTATAGTGTATTAATATTTTACCTCGATAAGCAAGGAACTGATCGTCTAGTTCAATGATGAATTCTCCATACAAGTCAATACATTTTCCTTGAAAGACCCATTGCTGGACAAACCTAATGAAATTATAAACATAACGATCAGATTGCAATACCCATTTTCCCCAAAAAGAGTCTGGATTTTAATGAAACAAATTAATCTGCCTTGACACAACGCTGGAATCAGAAGAATAAACGACAATGAACGAACAACTGCACACAATAAAGGAAGGAAGGAAGGAAGGAAGGAAGGGAGGGAGGGAGGGAGGGAGGGAGGAAGGAAGGAAGGGAGGGGAAATAGAATCAATAAAACAGGAATCGAATACAAAAAGTTCATGGMGCACTGATCAATATTACTCACGTAATGTATGGTGTACAACTATGCTTGAGTAATGATAGCAGCACCGGGTAGTGCTCTGAACTTGAATAGTCTATAGCCAGCTTGTATAAGTAAGAAAGTAACTTCACACCCTAGACGAAAAATATCAGATACAGCTGTTATTTAAAAACTATTTATAGACGTGATCTGCCAGGGCAGGGCAGGGCAGGGGCAGGGCAGGGGCAGGGTAGGGGCAGGGCAGGGGCAGGGTAGGGGCAAGGCAGGGGCAGGTGCTAGCTAACTGGAATAACCAAGGACAGGGGAGAGAGGAGAAGGAGAAGAGAAGATTACTATAGAGAGGAGGAGATCTATGCACAACTTTGATATAATAACTTCACAGGGAACTTACAGCTGGGAAGCCTTGCTTTGGGCTGGTTGGTGGTCTTGTTGTCTTCGAGCACATGCACATGTTTGATAAGAACCTGACAGAGTAAAACCAAAATCACAAAACTGCTTTCTTAGGTGAATCTGGGATTTGGCATTGAGGGAAATGGCCCCAGAAACAAACATCAAATGCATGTATATTTCCCAGAGATTTCAGAGATTATCAAAAGCATTCCTTTCCCTATGTTCCAGAGGCTCTCTCACTTCATTGCCTCTCATTCCTAAGTTTCATTGTCACCAAAGAACAAAACCTATGACAAAGAAGCAATGGAGAGAGAGAGCCTTTGAAACCCAGAGTAATTATGCATGGGCAAAGGAACACAGTAAAGTCTCTAATATTAAGGAATCATCAGATGTTTCTATTCAATAACAGATCTACAAGTATATAGCATTTTTAAAACATATTTTTATAGCAGTACCTCAATTGTTTACCAAGACTTTGAAATGTAAAGCTAAGCTGGAATGGGCTGTTTACTGTAGATGCTGAAATGAAAATCAAAATGCTGAAAGGTCACAACCTCAACTTAACTATTGCTAACAAAAAAATTTAAGAAGCAAAAACATTAAATACAAAAGTATTATTTTAATTTATTAATTTAGTTTACTGAAACAACCTATGAGCAAATTAGAAATTAATCTTGTTATGTTTTGGGAGGAAAACCAGAGAACCATAAACATTGCACACAAATTTCCCTTCAAATGTGGTAAGTTCCAGGTCAACAGGATTTATCGAAATTATTTGCCAATTGGCTTCTAAATCCATGACACATCACTTGTCAAAACCACGTCTCCGATTTTTTGTTTTTATTTCAAAAGTTATTCCTGTTTTGTTAGGTAGATTGCATTTTTTTGTACCTTCAATTTTAGATGCATATAAAAACTAGAACAAGGCCACAGAAAAATGGGGTATTCTGTATCCTTAAACATGAGAGGAACACAATCATGTTTATCAGTGCTTAGGTTAGCAACTGTTATGGTGTCACCCTCTCTGAATAAAGACAATTGTTGTTATGTTCTCACCATTGACACTTAGAACAGTAGCTCTATAACACTGCAAATAGTTTCTCAATCCTCCAAGAAATGCTTGCAGGACCAAACCTCTAGAGTGGCTCTCTCTATGAATGAACTTGACCAAGCGTACATAATCAGTGCCTATGACTGCTAGTTTACTCAGTACATTCTGTATTAGCTCGGGAGAACAGCCTGATAAACGCACATCAGGACTGACAATGAAACCAAGTGATTCCTGAAATAAGAGTTTGATAACTGGAAGTTTAGAAATATTTCACTAGAACAGGCGTTAAAATAATGGCCTCTCATAGGAAAATGTCCAGCCACGATTAGGGATTTTCCAGTCAAATCTTTTCCTTGCAAGTCATTTTAACAAATAAGATTGAGCCAGAAAGGAGGTATAGCCCAGCTAAAACTAATTTGACCAGTCATCATGACCAACTGTCCATTATTTTAAGGTGTGTAAGATGAAGTTTTGTTTTGTTTTGTTACTGAATGAATAAAATTTATTGAATGTGATAAGTGGATTGATGGATAAGTGCATTGATATATGGGTAAATGGATAGATGGAGRGTAGATGTATAAAAGAATGGATGGATATTGATATTGAATTGTTGCTTGTATTTTCAGATCCAACTGCTCACAAAATCACTAAAATAGAGCRAAAATTGTTCTCAATGATTCATTTTCCATTTTTCAATCTTGTCATGAAGAAAAAGTATAAAAAAATCTTGGTAGAATTGCTTTTTATTCTGGACCCAAAATAGAAGTTGTTTTTCCATTACAATTGACATCACACTTAAAACAAGGTCTATAGATTTATGGATCTAGAACCAATTTAAATACTCACAGTATTGACAAGGTATGTTGCTGAAGGGACACCAATAAGGACATCCAGAGAGTGGGTGACCAGTGTTGTCAAGGATACCATGGTGTAATGGCTGGGTGTCTTCACTAGATATGACAGCTGTCTAGACACCAGGTTATACAGTTCATCAAACACTGCAGGACCAGCTTCAGATATATATGGAAACTCTGTAAGCCCATCTCTCCTATAGATATTCAAAATACTAATCASCTCAAAATACTACTTACAAGCATGTATAGTGGTTAGTAGTTGGGACTGCTTTAGTGTGTTGAATACTATGAGTGAATAAAAGGAAACTTAAATGGCACATAAAAAATGTTTGTAACAATACTGACACTTTGGACAAAGTCCTTTATCAGAGTCCACTTACTGGACTGCTGCTATGCACAAAATAAAAGCTAAAGAAAAAAAAAAGGAAAAATGAAAATTTTACCAATATTCCTTTCAACCAAACAAAGAGTTACTTAACAGATCAAAAACAGTTTTCGTGTTTGATACTCTGATCAAAACACACAGGATGTTGAGAGAACACAAGAGGAGCGTAGGAAACTATGACACATAGCAGAGTGGTTTCCAGCTTCTCAAGTGTTCTCTCAACATCCCAAGTGTTTTGATCAGAGTATCAAACACAAAACTGCTTTTGATCTGTTTTATAAAATAACAAACACGCCAAAAAACGAAAAAATATTGGATTATTCTGATGTATTTGTAAAGGCACCCTCATCACACATGGTTTTTGACCAATCGTAGCTTGCGTACCATTCCAATTAATTTATAAAAATCAACCAAACTAACATYTTCATTTTTATTATTTCAATTTGGGTTACCAGTGTCACTCCACAGGCAACCCAGCCATCCAGACCCAAATCATGCGATATATTTGCATACCTTCCTCCCATTTCCCATGTATAAAACTTTTGGGGGGGCAGTGCCAAAGCTGCTTCCCAAATATCTTCCCCACTTGTCTGCTGTGATGGAGAGGAGCTTGACGCCCTTGAAGATGTGATAGATGATTCAGTCAGTTCATGGAAGCCCTCATCATCTGGAGACTAAAAAATATTTAAACATCAATGAAAAGTTTAAAAACTATAACTTATATATATTAATTTGTAATAATTTAAGAGTATACCTGTGCTGTTGGCAAAGTTGATATGCCAAATGTTCTGCAAAAGAAAAAGGATTTAAAGAAAATTTAAAAATAGTAATCCTGGGCAGACTAATTCATGGCTGATTTAACATTTTAATTTTGCAATTATTTTTTAACAGGGACAAATTGTTTTGTACAAAAACATGTAGGATTAATCAATGATTTTGTACACTTCAAATGAGCCAAAAAATACTGTATTTGCTAACAGATTGTTACAGGATATGGAATGAGATAAGATATGAGATGAGGATGGGATGAGATAAGATGGTAAAGGAAGATATAAAAAAGAAGAAAATAGATATGATTGCATGAGCTAAAAAGATAAGATAAGATGAGATGAGAAGAGATTAGATGATATTATATGAAATGGGATGAAATGAGACGGGATGAGATTGGATGGGATGGGAAGGAACTAGAATGGGGAAATGCAGCTTTATGACTTCACAAATTAAGCAGCAAATAAAAACAAACTGATTAATCAAACCATTTAATGCAGTTTTTGCTTACTTTTGATGTGGTGATGAAGGCAACTCTGGAAGACCCAGTTTGACTTGCATATCTTCAGTATAACCATGGCTTAATGCTCCAAACACTGTTTTTCTTGTTTCCTTGTCATGTGGTGCTTCTCCTGCTTCCTGTCAACCAAGATGAAATAGTGGTTTAAGAAAAGAAACAATAGCCATTTATCAATATTCTGGATGAGCAATCAAGCAAAAAACAATCCCAGTTGAGGCCAAGGGTAACAACAATGTATTCATACTTATTCTTTTCTTTCCCCAGAGCTCCAACTCAAAATGTTTTGTGCTTGATCACTCAAAAAGAATATCGAAAGTTGGTTATTGCACACTAAACACTATCCTGTACATAGAGATTTTGCATGATTATGTTCCAGTGGTTACATTACATTTAGATGGCAGAACAATAGAATCCCTTAGAGAATTAAAAATTATTTCTCATTATAATGTATTGTTCCTACCATACAACATGGCTACAATCATGTGTTCGCACAAAACCTCAAGATTGTACTGAAGCTACAGTATAGGTATACCACAATCTTCTTATGTCCTCTATCTCAGAAAACCTCTAGATAAGGACATTTATGTTCTATATTAGGCTAACCTGGAGAGCAAAGAACCTATTTCTTCCTTGTCCAGGACCAGTGACTTGGGAAAACATCTGAARACTGGTAGTCTGGTTAAGCACATCCTGTCCAATGGTGGGAAGCCTCTCAAAAAGAGCACTGTGTTTGCAAAGGTAAGAAGATACCTTAACACAGCACTATTAGTCATTGCTAATAACTTAACCTACATAAAATACTGGCCAAGGAACAAGTCTTTCATTGTTTTTTTCATATTTTAGATTATGTCATTTCCTTGAGTGTTGTTTCTTTACTTACAAGTAACACTTGATTAGGTACATTATATGTATGGGGGGGGGGGGAGGAATTTCATTTTCAAGGGAACAACAGGTAAAATCTCATACCCATAAAAGCTGCACTCTATTTTTACTAATTTGAAGGACAAATTTATGTAAATAAAGTCTTAGGTGAGTTAAGATTTGTTTTTTAGATGGCTGCATAATTATATCATTAGTGATACCTGGAATACTGGACATAGTGTTCAGCAAGAAGGGCTTCAGTTTTCAGTTTCAAACTATCAGTATTCAACAGTGGACCTTCTGGTAAATGGCTCTTGAAATCCTTAGAAGAAGTCATGCGTGAGATTTTAATCAGATACAAAATTACTCCATCACAGACATTGATCTCAAAAACTTTAACTTTAGACAAATCTCATCACTGAGTATACAAAACTAAATGAGAGGATGTATGGGTGCATGCTCCCAAAGAAATTCTTAAAATATGGATTCCAGAAATGCTATTTCCTGCACTTCTGATTCACTATTTTGGACAAAAAAGATGAATCCCAAAAAGGGGAAGATGCCCTTAGGAAATTTATAATGTAGTACACAGTCTCTGTATCCTGGTCGACATAATATAATTATTTCCATTATCTCATTTTGCATTTTGAGTATATATAAAAAATTCCATTTAGGAATTCCAAATACTGTATTTTATTTGTTAACTATAATAATATTCCAATAGACCCCTTCACCTTGACTGTAATGTTTTTCCATTTCAGACCATGTGTTATTCCCTTGAGTACCACTTCTTTGTTTAACAGTAGCCATGAGAAGACACATTAAAATGTTGGATACGACTCAAACAAAAAAAATTATTCTCAATAAAATAACACATGGTCTGAAAGTATTACACCCAAGCTAAAGAGGTGTATTTGATTTGACATTCATATTAAAAGCATGTTTATTGGCACCTTGTATTGCATATTATTAGCGAGAGGTTCCTCCTGGTGTCCAAGGGCAGGCAAGGGCTGTAGTGGTCCTGTGCCAGACAGTGCTACAACGAACCTCAATATGGCATCTGGTTCACTTATATAATCCCTAGGGCTTTTTATATCCACTGAATCTGTTGAAGTACCTAGCATTTAAAAATATACAATAAGCTTACATTTTTATTTTGCGTATTCGATTATTTACCACTACCTCCCCCTACCTAGTATAGCCCTCCATTTCGAAGTGCAATACTCCAAAAGGTCCGCTCTATCAAACTTCCGAGCTAATCTTAGCTGAAAAATAATCACTGCAATCTTTTCATATGGGTTTAAGCTTGTATTATCGTCTTTCTTCTCCTCAGACACAGACCAAGGTGCTTGAAGTTCATCAAACAATTTTTCATACAGCACAGTTTGGACTTTGAGTCTCCTGGCTTTTGTATATCGAATTCTCGTATATGCATCTTCTCTTTTGGCCGCCTCATGGAGGAAGGAAAGCTCGCAGAGCTTGTGGAAAAGAAGTGTTATTCCTTCGCTCTTATCATCCATGTTTATAGTCCGCCATGTTTTTCGATTATCCCGCCTGACCACACCCGCGAGGGCTCATGGTTACMTCTAACACAGGAACCCCATCATCATTTTGATAGTCACTTGTTGATAAATATTGATCGTATAACAGATGGCGGTTTTCATTCATTGAAAAGAAAATCTAAAARGTATTGATATGTCTGTCACTTAGTAATAATCGGTTGATTGCTTTAAAAGTATGGAAGCGCAAGTACTTTCGTTACTCATGGAGTAGAAAAAATTGCGCACAAAAAGGGGCCGTTTGCGGCTTAGTGGGTCAAGTTGCAGTCATTGCTTTTCTTCTTTTTGCTATCAATGACTCAATGTACTGGTGGTGCACTTGATAAGCAACCATTGGATTGCTTTCTAAAGCCAGCTACATTGACCTTGTTATTGACCTTCATTTCACTGGGAAAACGCAACGTAAAAATCATTCTGTTCGCCATCAGAATGGTTCGCCATGATCGACACAAGCCAAATGAATGCGCGAGCTTCGGATAAACAATTTTTGCCAGAATGAGTATTACTAGTATTTTCATATGAGTGTGAAACAGTATGTGAAATTTGTAGCCCTAGGCCTACTGTAGCCGTGCCGTATCTACAATACCATAGCCATAACCACGCGTTATTTATGACTGGAAAATTTAAAAAGAAGATATAATAGAAGCCATTTCAATGTTATTACGCATTGTCTTACCGTGTTTGTACTGTAAGTCAGTATGTATAGTATTTTTCCCACTAATTCTTCGTTTGCACGTTACGTCATCGCGGCCATGTTGGTACCCTTAACAAAAGATTTCTCATTAGCATCCATTGTTAACGGTACCACAATGGCCGCCATGTTTTTGTCTTTTAACTCTCTTGGGAGTGCTTGCAACCTATCAATACGAAAACTCTATGCGTTTGACTCAACATACTTAATATTTAATCCTTCCTTTTTTCCCAGCCGATAGTAAACTCGACGCAAGTTGTTAAGTGGATCGCGCTATACCTCCTTATCAGAATGCCGACTCATTTAGCTTAGTGGACGCCGGAACCTCTCCTTGTGATTTATCGCTGGCGGCAATGTTTTACTATATCGAGGTTATTTTTCTAATACAAACAAAACGAATAATCGATAGTCAACTGCTGACTCGTTGGTAAATCCACTGGACATTTGTATCGTAAATACTGTGCTAGCTTTTGTGCATTGTTGAAGAAAAATACTCATTAGACTTTGTCTAATCAACTACTTCAAATTAAAAATAAGAAATTAAACAATTGGTATAGAGAGTGAGACAACTGAATCAAATGAGGAAGTCAGCCTATGACGTAAGGATGAATATCAAAAAGAACCGACGTACAATATAATCGTCGTTATATATGATTACTTTGTTATATGACCAAACCGCGCGGATGTTTGTTCAATGTTAGGATTAYAGAACTTTTGAAAGAAGATCTTATGTTAATAAATAAACAAACATTATTATTTGTCATTAATATTAATAAAAATAAGGTTGGCAAAGTAATATATTTTTAAAAAAGCGTTAAATACATCCCTCCACGCTAAAAACGCTAAAACCACTAGAAACTGACTAAATTTGAAAATTTCGGCCAGCAAAAATGATAAAAATGYATAGTGAAACTTAAATGAATTCTTTTTAAGCCCCGTTTACACAGGCGATTTTTTTGCGGCGATTTTTGCGGCGATTTTTGTGGCAATTTTCGGAAATATGAAATCTTTTGTCTCATCCTTCAAAAGAGACATTCGTCTAGGAAAATCTTGGTATCCTGAATAAAACTTTACAAGTAAATTCTTTACCAATATTTATTATAAACAAAATCGCAAAAAAAAAAAAAAATCGCTACAAAAATCGCTATGTAAACGGGGCTTTACATGGAAATAATATATCAGTCATAAAACAGTTGCGCATCGATTTTATATCGGTATTAATAAGTGATTTCATCGAAATTAAGAAGGATTTTTTATTTATTTTATCGTGAGTATAAGCAATGTCAATCAGTATAAAATATATATGATAAAACTACCTTAGTAGGAGACCATTCCCTGCTGGTAAAGATATTAAATTTACCAAGCCATAACAGTCAAATGCATGCATAAAAACCATTACCAGCCCTTTTGCTAAGAGCAATCATTGAGGTTTCTATTTTTAATTATTAATCCCAACGAGCGTTTTATTTACTGAGCTGTGTCTAATGCGCGATTTCTTCTTCTCTTTTTAAAGTCAAGAAAAAAAAACTAAATGATGACTGGTTAATACCGTTTTCATAAATATGCGAAATCAGTAAAAAAGAGCTGTACGCTGAAATTTGGCTTTTCCTCTGCCATCAGTCAAAACTAATCAGAACAAATTTCAGTGTGCAGCTCGCAAACTATCGAGTTCGCGCGCATGTTTATGAAAATGACGGTAAGAGATTTGTTTGGATCAGCAGTAGGTAGTTGCCTTATAGCACATCACGGTTAAAGTGTGCCCCGTCACGACATCTGTACTCGCACCACTCGCCAGTTTTATTTGCGTTTTTGTATCATTCGCGCTCGGGGAACGACGCGTCGAATTCCCCCTGTTGAAACTACCAGATGAACCAAGATAGCTACTGTTTGACTTTTTGCATAGCTTCAGAAATCCATACCTAAAGTCTGGACTAAAAAGTGCAAAAATGATGGGGTTACTGACGCAGTTGGCGTAGGTAAAAAGCCAACATGTAATCACTATCATCCCAAAAATGCTGCTTTTGTGACCACCACCAAAGTCTGACCACAACCAAACGACTTGATTCGGAAGCATGAAAATGGCAAATACTATGACGACTGTTATAAACATTTTAGTTGCTCGAATATTCGCATTGGTGCGTTCCTGGACTAGCGACTTGTTGCGAAAACTAACCGATCGCAACAAGGGTCGGGGTTTTTTCGTTGAATTTTTCCAGTGCTTGGGATCGGCGTTATTATTAGTTCTGGCCGATTTGAGTGGATTTGGGGATCTCATTTTTTGAGTTCTCCCAGACGAATGATATAGATTGACCAACGCTAGGGTATACATGACAGTCATGAAGGGCAGTGGAAGAGCGTACTGCACAAGAAAAAGAAACGCAGTATAAGCTTGTCTGTATGCGAACTTTCCCCACACCTCTCTACACTGATCACCATCTAAGCGTAGAACGTAGCTGTATGGAGCCACACATGCCGCTRAGAAAATATGTAAGCCGCCGATCGAGTATAAGATCTGCTTCAACGTCAGACGTGTTTTATATGGGTGCATAATGATTCTGTAGCGATCCAAAGAAATTACAGCCAAGCTCAACGCGGAGGAAGTGACGGTAAACGTCGCTGCTGGATAAATAAACTTACAAAGAAAACCCCTGTAGAACCACTTGTAATTGTTCTCTTCAAGAGCAAAGTCAAACGGGATGCTAAAAATCGGAGTCAAAAAATCGCAGACTGCCAGGTTGAAGATTAAGTAATTGGTGGCAGTTCTCATCTTTCGCGTCGAACAAATAATATAAATCAACATGCCGTTGCCAAAAGTACTCAAGACGAGAATAAGGAAGTAGAATACGATCTTGGCTGTCTTGAAGACACTTGGATTGGTTGTTGTGTCTGTTTCTCGGGTCGAGTTCATTGAAGGCGAAGGTGTTAGCCCACTTGGAAGGGCGGTTGGACCATCGCCATTCATCGTTGATCCAGACTGGCAAAGCACACAAGAAAATGCAAAAAATATATACTGGCGTATTATCTTGTCGTAAGCCGAATCAGGAGGACTGTCACAGCTTGCTTGCACATTCGTCACGTATTCAAAACTCTGTAATTATTTTATGTTTATATATTTGTCCAACGATAAACGATGTCCCACTGCGTTCTGTTCAAACACTCCTCAAGGTAACCGTAAATAATTGAAGAACAACTAACTATTCTACAGTTCAGAAGACAATACCATTAAGGCGCCATTTGCATCTTGTGAGCGTTCACCCGGCTAAAACAAGTGTTCCGCTTTCTCTTGCACATTAATCCGCTTTAACAATCATCTTCAAGTCTTTCCCAGCACGATTAGCCTACCCTTTGAACACCCATTTATTTACTCTTCAAAATATTGTTTTAAGGATATGAATATTCAGAACGCTACAACTATAGAGGRAAGACGCGTTTCCTTTTACGTTACTCTTATTTTTCTGGTGAAAAGGAAATGAAAAAAGATAAGATGGCAATGTTCCTTAATTAATAGAGCCTAACTTATGGCAAACCAAAAGAAAAAAATCTATCTCTTTCTCTCTCGCCCTTTATTGTTGTTTTTCAAAAAACATTAATTGTGCAATTTAGATTTAAAAAWAAWAAAAAAAAGCTAATTGATAATTTGAAGTTGAAGCGCGGACACTGAAAAGTCAATTTTGTCTTAAATCATTGAAAGACCCTTTCCTTAATTTAACACACAATGCGAGACACAATGTCCTCACAGAATTTTGTCTTCATCATCAAGGAAGGTTTAATTTTTGAAATAGTAAATATGTGGGTATTAATAGTCGACATCTGTGTTCTTCGTGGTTTTCTAGATTCGACTGATGTGGTTATGTTTATTCAAATCTCGAACAGTTATCTTTTTTCCCATCGAGAATAACCCGTAAGCATGGTAATAATTAACAAAAGCTGACAAAAACTTTATCGATCAATTGAGTAGGCGTAAGAGTCAATTTTGAACCACGACTGATTGGGGTCTGTCTCTTCACTAGATCACGTAGGTCCAATGATCTCAAAACCGCTTGAGAGCAACGATATATCGATTTGGAATCACAAAATTGTACTTATACTATTAATAGGGTATTGCTTTGTTCTTCTAGAGGGAGTGTGAATTGCGTGGGAGTCTCATGCCTCGACATGCATAACATTTGAAATACGTACATGATTGTCAATTCTTGTGTCGGTGATAATAGACTATGGTCACCTATTTCAAAACACGTTCATATGTTTTACATCCAATGGTGGCTAAAGAATAAGTCTGGTTATTCTATATTGAATGCTGAAGATTTTCCCGGCTTCTCTACGAGCCCTCCCTGTGGAATCCCCCTCCCCCACCCCTCCCATCACCTGCGGCAAGATTTCCACTCAGGATTTCTTTTTAAAGAGATCCTAACGCCCACCAGTGCATGGTTTAAACTCATAAACTTAGATGTTGGCCCCAGGGTCTGAAGGAATGACGTCGACTATAGATAAGATATAATTACAAATATATAAAACCTTTTTACATTAAGTCAATAAAAAGAAATTAAAGTTTAAACAGTTTGGC